CCCTGAACCGATTTTCCCGCCCCCCCGCCCGGCCCTAGATGGATCACTTATAAGTCGCACGTTCGGGCCCAGCGCTCCTCTATGTGCACCTGCAGCTGATGAAGCATCAAGGTGATCAAGGAAATGCCTCAAGGCAGCCTGGCATGCACGAACACAATGATGCAGCCTGGCACTTGGCTCAAAAACATCACCTGAATCTCATGGGACTAGCGTCATGGTGGGGAGCCTCGGCGCTGAGGGATGTGCTCGGGTCTTGCGACCAACTTGAACCCTCGGCACCACCATGCATCCTCTGAAACGCAAATGGAAAAGCACTGGGGATCGGCGCGCCTACGTGCACATGGTACACTAGCGCGCAGCCTCACAAAATGTCGGATGTTTGCGCACAGCAACGTCGGTGTTGGGGGTTTCGCTCGGGTCTTGCGACCAACCTGAACCGTCACAGCACCACTCTGCGACCGTGCAACCGGCTCAAATGCAAACGAATGGCCATTAACGGGAACTCTGCGACCTTCTCCATCGAGCTAACCGCTCCCGGAGGTAGCAGGTCCTTGGCCTCCCACAGCCATAGCCCCCATCTCCTGTAGATGGTGACGTAGCGCTTGAGTGTGCTATAGGCCGGGTCTTCCCTGCCAGCATCAGAATCGCTCTCCCGGTCCAAGCTTCCCTTTAACTTCTCTATCACCAGTGCACAGCTTAGCTCCAGTTCCTCCCGCAACATCACAGCCCAGACACCTTGTAGCCATTCTAGCCGCGCTTGGGCTATCGCCCCTTCATCCACCAGCTTCCGCTGGCGCTCTCCCTTCGGGGGCAGCAGGCTCGCTATCTTCTTGAACATCTATCCCTTCAATGGCTGGACGTTTCCGGAGCCCCATCCATTGGATAGCCGGCGCGTGATAGCCCCTCGCACGCCTCTCCAGGTCCGCGGTTTCCATAGCCTCCTGGATCCAGAGGTAGAAGGCGTCTCCGAGGAGTCGTAGAAGATCCCTAGCTCCTCCGCTGGCTGCGCTAGCCGCCCCGCAACTTCCTCTGCCTCCAATCGAAACCCTGCGACGCGAGATGCTCATAGCACCTATCCAGCATCGCCCTTGTGGGGCGGTCTCCCCCTACGACTTCAAAATTACCCCCCCTATCAGGGAGACTTTATCCAGAATGGCCACGGACATACAACCGGTAGCCATTCAAAGTCATGCTATCTCAAACTGGCTCTCTTGCACGTACACTGCAGCGTAGAGCAGTAGATAGCATCTCGAAACGAAGTTTCTAGCTCGAAACACCTACGATGGTTTCGGTGGGTGGAAGGGCGGCGCTAGCACACACAGTCGTAACTCGTTCCTCGTCACGAGGTACGTTCATCTTCGCAAGCAGCATCAGCACCATCACCGGGAGGTTCGCCAAGAAGAAGTTGAAGAACTCCCGGCCAGCCGACCCTCCACCGGCGCGTTCGCCACGACGTTGAAAAGCACCCTCGCCGGCAATCGCCACAGCATCGCGACCGGGTTCGCGAGGAAGTTGTATATCACCACAGCCAGAAGCCGCCGCAGCACCACCGGCCAGTTCATCAAGAGAAAGGAAAGCAACATCGCCAGAAACACCAGCGGCGTCGCCAAACGCCAAACTGCCGGACTTCTCTGGGACGAAGGCCACCTTGTCGAAGCTTGCCGTGAAGAAGAGCCCAGCAGCAGCCGAAGCCTTGATGGCACCGAGTTCCCACTGAGCAGCGAGCCCCAGAAGAACTTTTCACGACCAAGTCCACCGCCACGTCTCTGCCTGCACTCGGCCGCGGTGGACCCGCACGAACGTTTGCTGCACGCCCCGGCCTTCAAGAGCACGCAGAGAGCCGCGGATTTTGACGAAGGGCGTGAGCAAGTAGTTAAAACGAAGACTCCTGCCAAGGACAGCCTAAAGAGCCGACTGGCAAGACCGCTCGAGGAGCTCAATGAGATCCTCAAGAGGACAAGGACAAATCCTTGGCATTTGTTCCGCCACGGCCTTCTTCATCGTGTGAACGACTGAGGAGATAAGCTGTACGCTTTCTACAGCGACTCCCCCGTCAAGGTCACGCCCTGGGATAGCCTCGCAGAGGCCACACGATTGGTCGACGTGAACTTGGATCTAAGGAGGCCGAGGCCCTTGAAGTTCTTGGTGTAAGGACATGCTTCAGCGGCGAGTGGTCCTTACTTCGATAGCACTCGCAGAAATCCATGCTTCGTGCTCGCCTTTTGGGCTGGGTGACCAGCAATAGGAATTTCAAGCGCCAGCTTATTGTTTCTCTTGTTGTTCCTCCCTTTGCTTTGCTCGCCCCTCCCGTGAGGAGTTGCAGGCTGTTAAACAGGAGATTGAGCATACTTTTAGCAGCAGCTTTGCTCATGGCTTTGCAACCGTGTGCCTGCACGAAGCTTTGGACTGGCAGATGCACCCCTTTTTCGCTTGTGGCATTGGGGCACTTCGGGTTCTTTGAAGGCCTGCATCCAGTCGGTCCGAGATGGCTGGAACATGTTCCATTGAGCGACGCTCGCTTTCAACGGCAGGCCATGATTCCTGAGGCTTGCCCTCTCCTGCAGCGTTTGCAATGGACGTAGCAACCTGATGCAACCTTGCTCCAACGCCGTGCCAGAGCTGGGCGAATTCGGTCTCTTCGGCCGGGCTAGACCTTCAGCAGCCGGAATTTGCTCTCGATTACCCCTTCGATGGACTGCATGAAGCTATGCGCCTGGGGCTCAGGGGCACTGACCTCGCTGCTTTTGGGTCGGGCAACTGCTGGCGGGCCACTTCGCGGCTGACCACGTGAGATGGCAGTGCCTTTATGGACTCTTTCGTCCATCTCGGGCTCATCTGCTATGGACTTGCGCGCAAACCTCTCACCTACGAGTTTTTGGCTACCGCAGGACCGATGAACAACCCTCTGCTCCTCCTGCTTTGGACCCTAACGAATTTTGACGACCTCGCCGGTGAGCTTAAGGTGCAGCGTCAGAACGACTCCTGGCCGCTGTGATGGTCGTCGCCCGGAAACTACAACTGCGCCACTGGCAATGGCGACGAGGACCAAGCTGCCTACAAACAAGAGCTTCTTGGATTTGAGTTGGCGTCTAGGGCCCTCAGCCTCAGCGGGCCGGTCCCGCTGCTGGATCGCGGTCGCGCTGATTTTGCCACGGGTGTCCCCAGCAAAGCTTCTGTCGACCTCGGTCTGCTCGGCCGCCCGGCCTTGGCCTCCCTGACGTCATTCTCTCGAAAGAATCGTTGAAGGGCATCTGCATCTAAAACGGGTACCTGTCCCTGCGGAGTGCCTCCCGAACTCTGTGACGCATCGGCGGCCGTAGCCACCTTTGACCGCTTCTTCTTGGGAGCTGGCTTGGCCCTCACCTGCCAGACGCAGAAGCTGACGCTGAGGTTCCCTCTCGGATTGCTTCAGTTCGCGGCGGCGAGTCCCGCCCATGGGCGCTCCGTTCGTTGTAAGGAAGCCATATTTGACAAAGGTGCCAGGACCGGGCGACTCGGTTCCTCCGGGGTACACGAAGTGGACCGCCTTCCGGTGCCTCTGCCAGTTCTGGCCGGTTGCTGACAGAAGAAGACCGTTCTCTGCGATTGATGTGTAGTTAAGTTGGGGTTATCGGACGCATGGAAGATAAACGCCAGCTGCTTGCATCGTTCCTTGGTCAGCTTCTCACCCTTCGCCTCCTCGGCAACATTCGGACTGGCATGCGACTGCCCCTGAACGGCGCTGATGGCGACGTTGAAGTCGAAGTCTAAGAACCGCCCCAAGAAGCAGGCATCTGCTGTGATCCATAGCTGGAATCTGCCCGTCGAATTGGCCATCAGAAAGCTGAAGAATTTGCGCGGCGCCCATTCGAAAGGACGAACGGGCGGCGCACTGCAGACTCTCCAGCTTCAGTTCCAGGAACTCTTCGAGCTTAAACTGGCTGTTGCGACGAAGGGTCTTTGACGGATCCTTGGATGTGCGAACTGACCAACTGTGGTAGTCATTGTAGTCCATCTTGAGCTGGACGATGGAACCGATCTTCTGTGAGATGCCCTCCAATTCCGCTCTGCTCAAACATCCAAGGCAGCACCGCATGAACCCAAACTTCCAAAACGAGGTTGGGCTGTAAGAGTCGCGCTCCCTTCGCCAACTCGAAGTCCCTGACGCGAGACAGGAATGCCAGCTGGCCCTCCAGAAGGTTCACGACGGCTGTCTCTCCACGTGGAAAGTAAGCCGAGGTGTCTTCCTGCCCAGCGAATCTTGGAATATTCACCGGCTTGATCTTTAGGAAGGAGGCGGAGACTCTAGAACTGGGAACTCCTTGCGAAGCCACTTGTTCAAAAAGGCCTTGTGCTCAATCGTTGTTCGAAAAGGAGGATGTGAATCAATTTCCTTCAACCAACCAGTCTGGACAGAACTCAGGAGGTTCCTAGGATTGGCGCTTCGTTTTGTGAGGCAGTCAGATAAACAGTGTTCNNCTTCGTTTCGTGAGACAGTCAGAAAGACAATGTTCGGTACGAACATGAGAGAGATCGGCAATAGCTCCTGAGCTCGCCTCCTTTCTCAACATCCGAGACATGTGGACGGTTTCCTGTTAGCATCGGTGCGAATGTGAATGTCGGCATCGAGACCTCTGATATCCTTCCACAAACCTCGGAG